TGGATTTTGGCAAAACCTGAGCTTCGGGGAAGGGTGAAGGGAAAACATGGATTGCACGGGCCAAAGGATCTCAAGGAAAGAAACATTGAAAACATGGATTGCACGGGTCAGAAAATAGATTATTTTTTATTTTCTAAGAGTAATGAATGAGATGAAACCAAAATGGTTTCTGCTCGAGAATGTTTTCTCAATGAAATAGGAAGAGAGATTTGAGATTACAAAGCCCTGAGGGGGAGTTGTGCCTGTGTTCATCGATTCGAAGTGGGTATCACCACAGTAAAGGCGGCAGTTGCACCGGACGAACATCCGCCTTCCGGAGCAAATGCGTGACATTGAGTCACATCCGAAAACTTGCCTACAATTTGTTATCATCAATGCCAAGGCATATAATGAGAAAACTGATTGTGTTATGACGACAAATGGTGAATAAAGTCAGCATGCCAGTAGTTAAGTGCATGAAGCAACGAGAGCCTCGTCTGCTTTATGTTACTGAAGTCGAAAGAATTATGGGTTACCCAACTGGGTATACAGAGTTGACTGAAGAGGAAGTTCGTGTCTCGATTGAGGGAAAGATAAAGAGGCAGAGCTATGATGGAAATGAGCAACCTGGTCTAGGCTGAAGGGAGGAAAGGGAAGCTCGGAGAAGAACCTTTGACTCCCCCATACCCTCCTCCACCCCAAGGGGCGGAAGCTAAAGAAAACCTTGAGAAAAGAATGGGAAAAGAACAAAAAGAACCCTTGCAAGCTAACTAACCGTCTCACCCCACCCCCTCTCCCCTCCATCTACATCTCCAAATCCCTACTGACTGAGGACTGGTGCGCGATGAGGACATCGCGAATGAGTGGGGGGAATGTGTCGGGACTGGTGAGTCCCGAATAACATCCCGCCACTCGAGAGACTGTATATGGCAGATTTGTGCACAGCAGAGAAAMTCGGAAGCAAGGAGGATGAAAGGATTGAAGGCGTAGGCACAGACACTTGGATCTAGAGGCTGCCCGAAGTCGCTGGGGCCATGAAACCGCGAGGAAATTAACGGAACGAGAGGCGGTAAAGGACTGCAAGAAAATGGCAAAGGCGACCCTTCCCCCGAAAAAGGAGAAGGACCGTCGAAAGAAGTAACGACGTGGGACGCGCGCCGCAAGGAGAAAGGAAGGGAGATGACGGCAAGTGAGGTACCGGCACATGAAGACGTAGCCCGCGCCAAAGGAGGCCACCGGGATGCGACGCCGAGAGGGCCAAGGGGGCCACA